CTCTCTCTCTAAAAATCAATAAAAAAAGAAAAAATATTAATTTTTCAAACAATATTATGAGTTCAAAAGGGATACGGTCTTAGTGATTTCTTTGAGAATAAGAAAACACTCCATGTGCAGTACTAAATATGAAAACAAATTTCACTGGTTCTAGCAAAAAAAACCCCACAAATATACACACACAAACAAACAAGCAAATAAACAAATAATTTCTTACTCATCCAGGCAGCAGAGGAAGTCAGGGTAATTGTCAGCCCACCCGAGAGCAAATGTTTTGCCAAAAGTAAGGAAACATACTTCCATTTAGAAAGGTCTTGTAACCACAAAAAGAACTGTCAAAAACAAGACGCTGTGATCTGACGAAGAAAAATAGTAATTGCTGGGGTAATAAGAGACTACTACAAAGCATTCTATACAAAAAAATTTGACAGCTTACATGAAACAAAACAAATACTAGAAAAAAAACCAAACACCTATCACAACTCAAGTTGCATTTGCAATTTAAAATCTCCCCCCAAAATAAATTTCCGGGCCCACTTTGTTTCACTAAAGAATTAACACCAATTCTAACCAATTTTTTCCAGAAAGTAAAAGAGGAGGAAACACTTCCCAATTTATTCTATCAAAACTCTGCAAAGACAGTTCAAAAAAGAGAACTACAGACCAACATTCCTCATGAATACAGACCAAAAACGTCCTTAAAATATTAACAAACAGGACTCAGTAACATATAATAAGAATTCTACACCACGACCAAGGGCGGTTTATTCCAGGGATGCAAGGCTAGTTCAATACTTCAGAAAGTTAGGCAATTGTAATCCACGTATCAACAGGCTCAAGAGATTGCATGTGAATTACATTTCCCTGGCTGGCCGGAGGTACAACTATGTTACAAACCTGAATAGGCTCTAGCAACACAAAGGTACTGTAGGGGTAGCTTTTGGTCTGCTTGGTGAAACTCCTAAGACATCCTAAGAGGCCAAGGTACCCAGGCTGTGCTAACTGCTCTATTGCAGGTTAAAATTACCAACTCACAGAGTGACTAAACCCATTTTCCAATTTACTGACTTAATAACCAGGGCAAAGGGAAAACTAAACATTCAGTTAAGAGTTAATAAACCCGGCCGGGCGTGGCTCAGGGGGTGAGCATGGACCTAGGATCCAGGAGATCAGGGTTCGATTCCCGGTCAGGGCACATGCCCGGGTTGTGAGCTCGATCCCCAGTCGGGGGTGTGCAGGAGGCAGCTGATCAATGGCTCTCTCTCATCATTGATGTTTCTATCTCTCTCTCCCTCTCCTTTCTTCTCTCTGAAACCAATAAAGATATATTTTAAAAATATTAATAATAATACCAACTCATTAGCTGACAAGGCTTGCTTTCAATACAAATCCTGAAGCACCATTTTTATCAAATTGCATACCGAAGGTTGGAGAGCAAATATGGCAAGTCCTTCTAATCTGTCATCTCCTTGAACTGGTGCATTGCAGAACATCAAGAACATCTTGTCCTAGGTGGACCTGAGGGACATGCAGCATCTCTTTTGTCTTCAATTGCATAGCCTGAGCGTGAGAGGCCGAGGTGACCAAGAGGTAATTAGTGCACATGGGGAGTAGGCAACTTGTGCAAGGAAGGTGAAGTACCTAAATCCAACTCTGGGTGCCATTTATACATATATATTCACCACATCCCAGTTCATGCATCAACTTCCTCCCTCCCTCCTGCTTTCCTTCCCTCAGGAACTCTTTCCAATTTGGCTTCCGCTTCCACCAATGAATCTATACTATAGAAAGAGACCTCAAATCTCAAGATCTCTTCTGTAAGGCTTATTCTGCTAAAGGCTGGGGCACCTGAGGAATTCTTGCTTTGCCTTGCCGATGGTTTCATCATTCAGGGAGCAGCGGAAAGAACAGGCCCAGTGCGCGTGCCCTGCACAACTGCAGGAGGCACTATTCCCACTGCAGTCTCCGTCACTGTTGCCCCCTGCACTTGTGTGGGGAACAACACATAGCCCTGGAGGCAGCTTTTTAAAACTATGTTCTTCAAATAGGGGAGAACTGATTAATAAGGTGAAGATGAGAATGTTGGAAGAATAAAACCAAATTCCTAGGACTCATAGTAGCATGGTCAAAAATAGTCACTAGACTGTAACAATAACTAATATATACAGTCTTGTGTCTGGCACTTTACTAGAACTCTACATATTTTATCACATTTAATCTTCTAGTATGACACATTCTATGATTCCAGTTTTACAGATAAGGAAACTGAAGCACAAGGAGGTTAAGTAATTTGCCCCAGTTCACCTAGCATATTAGACTCTGGAGCTAAGTCACTTAACCACTATGCTATGTACTATCTCCCTCAGGAGAGACCAGATTTTAGGAAATGGTCAGTATAAGAAATCATTGTCCTGTGTCAGGAGACTGAAAGGGAATTTAGCTATAGAAGAACATTTAAAGAGACAGAAAGAAGAAAAGAAATTCTGACGATGGCGTTCTAGGGCATCGTTCTAAGGAAAGAGAAAGAGCTGTCTGAAGAGTGTGCCTGCCCAAAGGAGTATTCTGCTCATATCAGTGTAAAAGGTACAAGAGATGAAAAGAAAGGTGGGTGCATAACCAGAGTGACAAGGGACCTTTCTGGAGGTTAAAGCACAGGATGGCCTGAGACATAAAAAGCCTCAGGCCAACTCTAGGGTATTTACATGTGTGCTCCAAGCAGGAAGGAGGAAAACACATCACGCTGCTTGTCCTTTTTGTTACCTGTTTTTACTAAAATATTTTTTACCCTCCAACTCTGCCTTTCCAGGGCAGTTCCCGTGTGACGCTGCCATTGCTGTCTTCCCATTTCAAATGCAACAATTATATTTATATACTTTGTGAACAAGCATCTCATGGCATCAGCTGATCGATACCTGCGCACCCCAACCCCTGCAGTCCTCCATGCCACCATCATTTTTATTAAATCGCCATCTCTTCCCAATTTTCCTCTTCATACTCTCCTGAAGATGAAATCTAAGAGCTGAAAGAGCAAAAAGTACAGTCAGAGGAAAAAGAGAAGTTTGACCTTTAATAAGAAGACAAAAATCTATTTTGGTTTTAAAACAAACACCCAAGATGCATGAAATCCTAAGAGCCAAGTTCCTATGAGTACGGTCAAACATCAGCCAAACAATATGTTGAAAACCCCTCTATTATGTTCAATGAGACCAATGGAACTTCAGTTACAAAGGTCATCCTGCCCTTTCTCCACAAGATGGTTAGAAAAGCATTTACGCCAGCTTCCAACATGTGAGCTTTTAAAGATGAAGACAAAACACTTATTGAAAAACTGTTTACCAGGTATAGCCAAATCTTAGTCCCTGGGTGTGTGCTAATTATCATTTCATTTAGAATTTTATTACTGACACACACTTAAACCTCAGGGTCAAAACTACAGTTAGTTTTCTTGCAACAAGCCTTGTCTCAAAGATAAATGACTCAGAAGAGGTAACTGATGGACCTCAGCCCAAATAAATTTTAAAATAGCCATCACATTATCCAAAGAAACAGCTACTGGCCAGTACTTTTGTTTAGTCAATGAGGCTCAGGGTTCAAGGAGATGTGTGAACATGTGGGCCAGGGGAGGAAAGTATCAGGTCCTTGTATTTATAAATTTATAAACTACAAAGAATTCTACTAAAAGAATTGACAGTATTCTCCTGACAATCTTAAGATATCGATAAATGGCAGGGTTATAGCTCCATTAATGCCTCTGTTGGTTTTCTGTATAATTCCCTTTTCTTTGCTTCTCACTAGCATCTAAGTGCTATCTTCCCTCCTTTGACCCTCAAAGAAGCTGAAATGAATCTAAGAAACTGCTCACCTAAGTGTGGGGGAAAAAATGCCCACTTGCAGAACTTCTGTTCCCAAAAACATAAAATTGGGGCCAGAGAAAGGGGCTATAGTGGGTGACTGAGATAAGAGAGGAATCCTGGAGAGTGCAAAGCAGAAAAAGAGAAAAGGCGACTGTCGCGTGGGCAAGATAGCAGAGTAGGAGGGACTCAGTGCCCCAAGTGTGGACATTTCTATTGCCTGTCAGCCACCCACCACTCAACAGCCCCAGACATAAGCCTTCTGAATGAAGATTGGGAGGATGGGGCATCTTGTTACAGAGAAGCCGGTAAAGAGGAAGCTTCTCTACCCCAGAGATGGAATTGAATATAACACATGGAATTTCCTTAGAAATTCATAATGGCATAAACACTGATTCTTGCTTCCCTAAATCGGGACACATCACTCACCTGTAATAGGCCCTGCTATTCAACCTGGAGACGCTCAAAACAGGAGTCCCACTGAGGAGCAGCAAGCTTTTGTGTGCCAACTAACCCCTCAGGAAGGAGGCAGATGCGTAGCAGAGTTGATACTAGAATACAATTCAGGTAGCCCAGTTTCTCAAGGAATGGAATGAGGCCCATCAGTGGCCAATACATGGATCCCAGCAGTGATGGGAGGAGCACTGGATTCAAGCTCTGGCCTCTGGAGTCTGCTACCCCTGTCTTCTCTCTCATGGTGACAGTATCAAGAGGGTAGGGGACAATGTCTTCTCTTTTTGCTGTCCCAGGCTTGTAAGTTTCCCCAAGAAAGCCTATTCCTTAGCCCATCCTGTGTGATGTGGGAATTATAAACCTACATTTGCTCCC